ACTCACAGAGGTTTATCGCACACCGAGACCTTAAAAGGACCTTGGACTCAAACAAGTAAGTCTTGCATTTCTGTGGTGAAGACTATCAGAAGGGTGGGGAGGAGAGGAGAGGGGGTTGAAGTAATATGTTACTGTGTGTCTTTTCTACATGCAGTCAGCAACTTTGTTACCTCTCCAGATACAGTGAGAAGTAGTAAGAGGTCTGAACGTTCAAATGCATGGGAAAATCACAAGAGGCTTTTTATTCTTGAGGTGGTGAAATGGATTAGTGTCACTAAATGTGTCCCACTGTGTGAAGTACAAATGAATCCAAAGTGGTTCCACTATCTGAACACAAGACATGAAAATGGTTGTTTTACAGACTATGAAATGAAATGACTATGACTTCCATCCTAATGCTATAAAAACAGAAATATTGCACCAGACACAAGTAGAGGTTTGGGGAGGTATGCATCATATAGAAAGGTTGCACAACAATTTGCATGCTGTCTTTTTGAATCAATGTTGCATCAACATGCACTTTCAGTACACATTTTTCCAGCACACTGTACCTCATTGCCAAGGTGATCAACAATTGAGATGTAATTTGGTTGTGACTCATTGGGATAGGACAAGAGGACATCATATGGCACCATCTCCACTGAGTCTATTCCAAACATCTGCCACTCTTTCATGATCTGCTCCGCATACTTCAGGTTCTGCTCTGTGCCTGCCAGGTGAGGGAGTTGTGTAAATTTCCTGTGGAGAGGATGCTGATGGTTACAGTGGCACTGTTATGTGAAGAATAGCACCTTGAACTGAATACATAAAAATAAATGTAAAGAAAATTATTACATGCATTCAAGGCTGATACATGATTTCACTTGAACGCAACATGATGCACATGCCCAGATGTTTTCACTCAACTGAAACAGTTCATGTTGCTATAGTTCACCTTCAGGTTCTTTGGATCAAAACTAGACTTCACAATAAAAAACTAAGTATTTAGTATCCAGCATGATTTCAGTACACTTTGCTGGAGTCCTCAGAGGTCTCAACAAACCACCTGGCACACCATGTTAGATTTGGGTGAGTCAGTGGGATGTCAGCGCCATGACTAGCACTGCTGTGTGACTACAAACATTGGAGCAGAGGGGGTCAAAAAGTCAACAGAGACCACTGCAAAACAGATTTACACAACAGATTTAGTATACTGGTGATCACTTTTTACCTGAGATGTTCTCTGATCTTATCTGCCTTCATTTCCTCCAAAAAATCCTTCAGGTAATGGCTGGAATCCGTGTGGTTTTGTGTGTTTGAAGGCTTTGCAAACCAGCCTACACATAGACAAATAGAGCACAAACAAGCATTGAGTGAGTTGTAACGGCATCACTTCTCTTAAGAAGCTAATTGTTACCACACACACTGTTATGTGTTTAAAATTGTTAGTTTAAAGAGGAAATAGAAGGCTATAGATGGACTATACTGGTTGTATTGGTGCTTGACAAAAGGTTGCCAATGTTATATTGTAAGGTTCGTTGGGTTTATGGAGTGAGTGTTAACCTGCTGTGAGCACAAAGACGTGAAATCTGTCAGTATGGTGACACTCAAGCTCTTCAAACTGTGCCATCACGAAGGGCACTAAGTACTTTAACAGTTCACATTAATCATTTTAGACAAATTCACAAAAACAAAACAAAAAAAAGCTTTATCTCCTTAAGCAGTGTATTTATTTAAGTCATTTAATTAACTCTCTCTGGTTTCTTCATTAATACCAGGACAGCTATGCTGTTGTTCCCCCAATAGCATTAGAGACTTCATTAAAAAGGAACAGAAAAGCACGCAGGCAATATCAATCAGTATACAGATAAAGCTAGGGTTGGCTTTACGAGCTTACCTATGCAGAAGCCCAGCACGAACAAAACTGTCACAATCACAATCCACTTGATCCACCGAATCCACCTGCTCTCTTTCCTCATTTTAAAACGGCACGGCTCCAACTTTTCCACACACGGACACAACTGACTCCACAGGGCACGCTTGCAGAGATAGCGATAGAGAGTAATTTGTTTGAGAAGTGCACAGCGGGGGAATGGCAGAGTGAGGTGGAGTGTGATACACAGAGAGGGAGGGAGTGTGGTGGCTGACTGAAAGAGGCGGTGAGTGAAAACTTGGACAGGAATGCAAAGAAGAAACTAGTCATTAATGCTTGGCTTTGCCTGTGAGCTGATTGCTGTGCCGTGCACCTTGGCTGTTCCAGTGCTGACTCAGTTATTACTCAGTATAAAACAAGATAGCCACTCTGGATACTGTTTTCCTAGTGGGGGGTGGGGGTTAATGACACTAGTGGAGAAAAAAAGCAGAGGTTGGCTGAGTGAAAATGGAATAGCAGATACTAAATCACTTTCGGTCATGGGGGAAATTTGTAGGGCACTGAACACTTCTAGTCAGCAGACACTGATCCAGCTGAACAAACTTTAGCCCAGCATGCTCTTTCTGAACTCTCTCATAACCTCCATCAAAGTACCAAACCTGGAAATGTCTGATATTGGCCTTTTTAATAATAAAAATGTAATTAATCTCAAATAAAAGAAATAAAATGCACATTTCACCAGCTACAGAGGCTTTTATTTAGAAAGGAGGGATCTAACAAATCAGGTTAGTGAAACCCATTTCTGTCACACAATCAAAGGTATGATAGCTTTAATCCCTTTTCTACACATTGCTGAAATGTGAGCCGAGCTCCTACAGAGGGAAGCAGGTTATTAAGCACAAGTTTATTTACTTTAAGATCCATATCAGCTAAAATTTCATGATTTCCTATTAGACCACTGTCTGTTGCTATTGATAGTCATGCATGTTTTCCCACAGCAAAGACTTGCATGCTCTGCTCTGCTTGACCCCTCCTGGCTCTGTGAACAGCTGTGTGGTGTATAGGATAGCTCTTTCATGCAGTCGGCTGAAGCGTGAAGTGGGGAGGAGGCTCTCTGCCCTCAGGAATGTGAGGAGTTCACAAACCACAACAGTGACTCCTCAACAAGCTGTTTATCTGGGAATCAAATTTAATTATCGGCATTTAGATGTTGAATTTTTTTATTTATTTAACTTGTTGTTCAGGTATAATTAATAAACTGTAAGTAAGAAAGTTTATTTGTATAACACATTTCAAGAAAAACATCACAAAGGGCTTCACAACAAAATGCTGAAAAACTGAAAAACAAAAAGTCTAAAAAAAATGAGTTTTTATCTGTTTTTGAAAGCGTTCATCAAACCCAAAGATCCCCAAGCTCAGAAGGAGTTTCAGAGTCTTGGAGCAACTGTTGTAAAAGCGCTGTCTGCTTTAGTTTTCAGCCTTGGATGATACACAAGGACCTGATCACATGACCTCAGAGACCTCTGGGGACCTATGGGTGTAAATGTTCTCTGATGTATGCTGGTGTTTGTCCATGCAGAGATCTAAAGGTCATAATCACAATAACATGGACTCTCACATGCATCTCCCCAAACAGCAATTCTTAGTTTGTTAGCAAAAATTCAAATCAAACATCTAATATCTCTCACAGTGATTATACAGTTATAATTTTAGCAATAATTTCTCTGTGGTCAACTGTCCTTTGGTGTTGGATCAGGAAGGCCATCCAGTGCCAAATCAAACATGCAGAGCTACCCCCTGTTACCCCTCGTGAAGAAGAGGGAGCAGCCGGAAGTAGCTTCATCTCAGTGGTTTCTTATTGCATAAACAGCACATTAATAAGTTAATACGTTAATAAGTCAGTGTTAATAATTCTTGGTAATATAAAAGTTATTATTATAGTTCCACTACATGGCTCTTTGTGTGTGCTAAAGCGTAAAATCTATAACTATTTGGGTGGCTGTAGCTCAGGTGGTAGAGCAGGTCATCTGCTGATCGGAAGGTTGGTGGTTCAATTCCTGGCTTCCCCTAGTCTGCATGCCAAATATCCTTGGGCAAGATACTAACCCGAAATTGCTCTCCGATGCATTCATCGGAGTGTGAATGTCAGTTGTGCTTGTGTGAATGGGTGAATGCACAAGTTGTGTAAAGCGCTTTGAGTGCTCAGAAGAGTGGAAAAGCGCTATATGAGAACCAGTCCATTTACCATATTTTTCAATTAATTGCATTGTTAACGTCATGCCTGCTAAAATTGTCATAAAGACTACAACACATTAGTTGTTTACTTCAAAAAATTGTCAGTGTATTTTTTTCCAGACTGTTCTTCTGTACTTTAAAGTGTTTGGTTTAGTTAAATGGAATTTTTTAAAATAAAATAATTGTCCTTTAAAGTCAGGCAAGTTATTATCGACCTACGTGTCTGTGAAGGTTCTCAGTCATCCAGGTCATCGTAGTCAAAGGAGCTTGCAAAGAAAAGCGTCTGGACTTCTTTAAGTTGCTTGAAGACGTTTCACCTCTCATCCGAGAAGCTTCTTCAGTTCTTTGACCTTTGACCTTAGAACTGAAGAAGCTTCTCGGATGAGAGGTGAAACGTCTTCAAGCAACTTAAAGAAGTCCAGACGCTTTTCTTTGCAAGCTCCTTTGATTATCGACCTACCAACCTCACTTCAGATCAGACAAAAGAAAGAGTGTGACACTCCGGCTTCAAATAAACTTCAACTTTGCAACTCTTTGTAATTAAAAAACAGCAATTAAAATGTGTGATTAAAAGTGTAAGTATAATTTTAAAAGTACCTTATAAGAGTCAAAGATGGGAGACTTCACGGGGATACGCTTGTCTATAGCGCCCTCTAGTGCCAGAAAAACGCAGCAAGGTGCGATTAATCGTAGTTTATTGTTCCCCCCAAGTGTGTTTGTGGTTTCAATGAGCACGTCCTGTGTATTTTTATAAATTCACGATGTTTTAGGGAAGCTGCTGGCTTAATGTCCTTGCGTGTCGTTCATGGGGGGGACTGGTGAGAGGGGCAGAGAGAGAAAGAGCTGTGGTGGCTAAAAAGTGAAAATGCACTGTGAACGGAGGAGTTCCTGGGAGGTTGGACTGAGCAGGCACCGGCTGCTCTGTGGACACTGCAGTCTGGCATACAGACTGAGGCAGAGCTGCAGGGAGGACGAGTCTCTGAGATCTTGACCGCACCGGAGCTTTGGTGAAAAGTTTGGGCAGCTGCTGAGCCCCTGAAGGCATCATGGTTGTGTCGGCGCGGAGCTGGGTGGCCAACGAAGGAGGGAAGTACTTCGTCCTGGTGGGGAAGTTTTGTCTGACATTTGAAAACCACCCATCTCCACTTAAATCTGTTAACTGACTCGTTAATATATCTGTTATTTATCTTTAACTTACACAATTCTCCAAGAACGCTCAAATGAATCTGTTGCTGCTCAGTTACTGTGTTTAGTACATGTTGTATCCATGCAGTCTGCTTGGCTATTGTAGGGCAGCTGTGGCCTGAACTCAGATACAGATGTGCACGAGACGTTTACAGGCAATTTCTTGTGCTGTTTGTGATGATGTGTTCCGTGTGTGTGTGTGTCTCTCTGCGTGTGTGTGGGGGTAGATTCTGTGGCTGGGAGTTAACACCTGGCTGTTCATCAGCACCTTCCTGCTCTACTTCACTGGACAGCAATACCACTACCTCTACAAGATGCTCGGGGTGAGACCTGATACATTTACATGCACTTTCTAGATGTGTTGTTTTGAACCAAGCTTAAAGAAGGAAACGGACCCTTTACTGAGCCCTTACATCAAACCCTTTCTTAGCTTCATATGTTTGATTAGACATAAACAGATTTTTCAAGATTTTTATTTTTGTACATCTTGTCATGTGAGACAGGAAAAACTCATCAGTGACCCTGAGGGTCATGATATTGTTGATGCCAGCTAACATTCACAAAAGAAAACTGAAAATAACAAGGTCACTCTTAATGATATAAGTAGCAGCTGTGTTTTTACCAGCTGTGAGAAACGTATAAGTGACTTTCGTCTTCTGAAATCACGCTTTTTCCTCTGCCCTGTCATTTCCACCATATCATTTGAGATTAGTTATAAATCATGTACCTTCATAAGCCTACAAAGTGTAGCTCCATGATGTAGTGATTCACATATTTTGGCTGATAAGTGAAAAATCCCTGGTTCTTGTGAGTAAGGGAACCGCTGACAGTAGCTTTATTCAGTAGACCTACAGTGCTCTTCATAATTCCACAACTAAACAAGGTTGTGTGTGTGTGACTTTTACACTATTTTCTGTGAAAAATTTGATTCTTATTGTTGTTAAGGAAGAGATAAAAGCACCACGTGTATTGGCTTGTTATTGTGACCTCCAGAACCAGGCAGCAGGGACATGAGCTGGGTCAACCAGTCACACACACATAGAATCAGGTTTAGATTTTAATGCCTGCTCGCTCATGTGGTGTAATTTTTGTCACAAGGTCTCAATGGTGTCTCTGTGGGCGTGGGTGTGTGACTCTCGATGCATGCTTGTGTGAGTGAAAAAGTTCCTTGTCTTTGGAAATAATAATTGCAGTCATTACTTCTGCACCAGATCTGTGATTTTCTCCCAAAAATCACATTTTTTATGCAAATATAGCAAAAACAAAAGCACTCACCTGGATTCTGTGTTTAAAAATATATCAAATTGTGCTGAACAAACTCCAAAGTGATAACTGAAATGTGCCAAGAACAAAGTTTAGCACATATAATACAGTACGAGTATTTGTAAATGAAGTTGTTAAAGCTAGTATGAAAAGCCAGCAGATGAAAAAAACAAAGGTAAAGCTGGAAGTGATAAAATTAGATGTGGCAGCGAGCAGCATGTGCGAGCTATTGCACTGCGTGTACAGTGGATAGCAAAGGGGAGAGAGGGGCAAGTGTGGGCACGCTGCTGGCTTGACTGAATGCCTTACCAGAGGGCTTAAGCTTATGTGTGTGTCTGCACGTGTACGTGTGTACATGCAAGACGGAGATGTATTTCGAAGGCAAACTGAATCCAGCTCAAACTTCATATATCCAACTTTTCTCCTTCACCTGTGTAAATCGGGTTTTGGGGATGTACAGAAAGCAGGGAGGATATCAGACCTCCTGCTTGGTTTTGGCGTCAGCTGTTCTTAGTAAGGTATGCTGAGTGAACGTGTGTGTGTGGGAAGTCTTTCAAAGGTGTAGGCGTCTGATTTATAAGCATGCTGGTCTTCCCCCATCATCTGCTATATGTAGATTTTAACTCTTGACCAGTTGTTTCACCACATTCTTATATTTCAGCATCTGTTGTACAGCACACTGTGACAGCTAATCACTTGAAACTGGTGACTGACCAGAAGCTGCTGCCGCCTTAAGGAATCACATTGTTTTAAGCGCACTTCCTATATTATGTTGCATCTCTTACAGCCATCACAAATCTTTACCGCTATTTAAATCCCCCATCCTTCAAAGGCTGGACTCCAGTTTCAGACGCGCTCTCCGTCTTTGATCTGTGCTTACCTTCATCTCTCACACCAGTCATTTCAGTTTCTTGGGGATAATCAGAAGAGACGGCACCTGCAGCGCACGCTCAGGCTGCCAAGAAAGTGTTTAAATGTGCTGTGTTTACAAGATGCCAAAGGACGTCCGGCTTTTAAGCTTGAAAACAGCTTCGATTGTCGAGCTCTAAGATTAAGATTTGTAAAACCACATTACACAGCAGACGTCCCCCCTGTGTCGCTTCAGGTAAACTGTCCACTTGTCATCAACTTGTTAGGGGCCTCTACATAACCTGCTCTGTACTGAAAGGATGACAGACTGTAAAACTTGCAAGTGGTGGCAAAACAGTGGTGTAGTCAGAAGAGTCTTTGAGTGTATACTTAGAGAATAAACAGTGTTTTCCAGTCTTTTTAAATCTCTTTTTAAAGCCAAAAACTGGATGACTTTCAAAATAAATGAATGTCTTCCATTTAAAGACTAACAGACTCCTAAAGGGGTCCTTAGCTCTCTATTCTGAGAAAGACAAAGGTAATTTTATCTAGCACTACGAGCTATTCAATTGGCCATGATTGAATAGCTGATATCTGAATGGGAATAATCAAAAATGTGCACCTTAATCCACCAGGCCACTTTACACCCACCAAATGAGGCCTAGTGTTGGCAACTTGCCTAACAATGTATGTGTGTGTGTGTGTGTGTGTGTGTGTGTGTGTCTTTCCCAGCTAGGATTGTGCATCAGCAGGGCATCTGCAACTGTGCTAAACCTGAACTGCAGCTTGGTGCTTTTGCCCATGTGCCGCTCTCTGGTGACCTTTGTACGAGGAACACGGATGGTAAGAAATACTACAGCTCGGATGGATCATTGGAGTTTTTAGGGACGGGAAGAAGAACTTCCAAGTGGGTTTGGTTGTATCAGTGAAAACAGGTTGTGGGGCTTATTCTGTAAAAGCGACTCATATATTGTAAAAGAACTGCTAAAAAATACAGAGGCAAATATGAATATAGAAACATAAAAGGATTGCAGTCTTGATTAGGGTAGAAGGAAGAGGATTAGTTGGTGTTTTCATTGAATCCCAGCCACGTGAATAATACTATTGTCTGTGTGACACACACACTGATGCAGATATCAAGCAGAAAGACACGCAGACTGCTGGACAAGTCCAAGACCTTTCATGTGGCGTGTGGCGTTGCCATCTGCATCTTTTCTGGTAAAAGCTGTCACTCGTCACCCTGCCTCATATTCATTCATGTATCACTGTGTGCCTGTCTGTGTTAGTCTGTGTGCTGAATGTGTACACATGATCCATGCTAGCTCAGCATTTCTGCTGAACCAGCTGTGATGCTCTTCTTGCTGTTTGTGTTTCTTTTTACTGTCTACGTGTCCTGTGTGTATGTTATTCTTATGGGTCTCCTATGACATCATGGGAGCCTCAAGCAGCCGTGGTCCAGTGGCTCTCTTCTTTGCAGGGGTCTTCCTCTTATTCATTCATATGTTTCTGGGAAGCCTGACCGGCATTGCTGTTTCTTATAGTTACTTGCATGTGTCACAAAAAGCTGAACCGCAGGTAAAGTTAGTGGTAAGCCACATGCTGTGAGCTTTCCTGCAGCAGAGATTCGGGCATTGTAAAAGGTCCTGCCTCGCTCTAAATATCTGACTAATTAATGTGATTAATGGTGGTTGCGGAGACGAGCTGGCCAGACGATGATTGTCAAAATTATGCATTACTGATTACTGATAAAGTGATAAATAAGGCCATTCATTCATCAGCTGAGAGTGTTTAACCAATCAAACTGCGTTACTTGATTGCTTATTAAGCAGGTTCATCTCCATGGAAGAGAAAGGCTGATGTTCACCAGCTTACATTCATACATCAGCATGCTAACTTGCATTAAATAGAAACAGAATGCCTGTATTTTCTTCAGAGCACATTTTATCACGGCCCATATAACAGTTGGAGTGACATTTTACTTAAAACCAAAATGGTCAGAAAGAAGCAATCCATTATCTGGGGACTGGGAACGTCGGTTAAAATCTTCCATTCTGTGGTTTCACGGATATTCCAGCCTGGGTTGATCGGCTGAGATTTTGGCAGCAGAATGTTCTTTGCCTGTAAACTTAAGTTCTTCTTTTATCTTCATCATCACTCACCTCTCAACTCATTAAACATTACTCAGCAGTTCCCTATGCATATGCGTCCCCCTGCCCCCAACCCCGGGGCAAAGTTCTCATGTGCTGAAAAACAAAACTCAGAGACAACAAATGATACAAAGGGAGGCAGCGGGAGAGACAGATGGAGAGGAGGAGGAAAGAAAAGAGAGCAATAGAGGAGGCAGTGGGAGTGACGAAGGATGTGAGTAGGAAAATAGGACCCTTGTGTCTCGTGATCACACCCTCTAATTCCATCAGCTGTTGAACAACTGCGTGGTTTGGCCATGATGTCAGCTAGGAGTGTGTGTCCTGTGTGTGTGTGTGTGTGTGTGTGCCAGCTAGTAAGTGGGGAGGTTGTTTTGCTGAGTTTTTGCTGAATAGACAAAGAAATGTTTGTATGAGTTTCTGACGGCAGTTCATTTGAACATGTATAATTAAGTGAGAGCGTGTCTGTTTGAAGTCTTGTATGTGCGCACTAAATGTGTTTTAAATCAGCACAGTGTAACGTTTTGTTTCTCCTCTAGTTATGCACGTTTCTGCCCACCTGGTTAATGTTGTCAGATTCAGTGTGAGATACTCAGATGACTTTCCGGCTCTCAATTTGGCTCGCTACAGAGGAGAGGTGAGACTCAAGCACACCCCCCTGAACTCACCATCACAGTGACACGTCCCACCGCAAACCCTGTGCTTCCAGTTTCAAGACATGCTTGAAACCTGTTGTCTGACCACATCTGGAGCACATGAGCAAAACAGTCCTGCACACCTGGTCATTCACAATGTAAAACATCCACTAAAAGAAAACATGATTGCTGGATTGCCAGATGATTAACTGTCTTTTATATCAAAGCTTAAGCTACTGTTACATAATCAGAGAAGCATTCATTGTGAAGCACACCAATCTCTAAATCTGAAAGCATCAACCTGTTTGAGCAAGTGAGGGAAATATCCAAATATGTCCACACTTTTAGCCAAAGCTAGTCGTCTGGAGATTTTGTCTGCTGATTAGCTCACCTTCAAGAACATTCTAGAAAGTCACCAGCTGAAGTGGTGTGTTGGAAAGAAGCCTGCAGACAGTTTTCTCTCCAAAGCACAGACTTGGCTTCCTCTGTGAGATCAAAAACTCTTCATCGGTCCTCACAGAAACAGATGCAGAAGAGTGAACACAATTCTTATTTTCTGCTTTCTTTCCTAGGACCCCATGCTGATTATTCTGACCACAAGTAAGGACTACTCTTTGTCATGCACTATGGTACAGATTAGTGGCTTTAGAAAGAATAGGAAGTCATGTTGTGTTTTTGAAATTCAGTTTTTATATTAAATTAAATGGCAAATATTGCTTTAAACGTGTGAGCAGACAATTCCCTTATGTGTATTTTTATATGTATGTTTGTGACCCCTAAGTACTTTGTTGGGTTTGTCTCCATTCTGTAACTGAGTTATTGTCTTTAGTCCCAGGAGTCACTGGTGTGCTGCTGGTCCTCATCCTCTTCCTGATGTTCATATCCTCCTCCTACTGTGTACGGTAGGCTAAATCAGACCACCATTATAATAGTCATCATAGTCTTTGTATTAATAGAAGCGAGGAAAGAACCCTCATAGACTTGATGAGCAACTGTAATTGGGATGAATTGGAGCCCGGCTCCACGTCTCCGTTCCTCGATACAAACATGATTTGTATTTATGTCTGTCTGTCAGACAGAAGGCGAGACATCAGTATCTCTGTGTTGTGTTTCTTCGCTTTTCTCTTTCTGTCTGAGCTCATGACTCATTTTGTGTTAGTCAAAGTGAAATGTAAGCTGGAGACCATGAGGAGGCACAATAACAGAAGGTTGTGGGAGAGAAAATCACAGCTCTGTCCTTATTCAGGTCATAGTGGGTCACTCACTATACGTGTATTAGTCTTCCGAACGGTCTCCCTGATTTCCTCGGTAATTGAACAGGGGATAAGAGGCTTTTCCAGACCACTTAAGGCTTTAGATAAGAATTTGGCTAAGTGGCTGGAGTGGTGGGATGATGGCGGCTGCACAGCAGAAGAATACCTGCTTAATGAGTCAGTGATCCACAGATATGAACTTACTTTAAAGTCTCCAAGGTTATTTATGTTTTACGGATTGCAGTACCTTCATGTCTGCTCCCTGTTGCCTTTAACATTAGAAAGTGTTGAGTTGTGAGAAGCTTTGCGTTACGATGCCATGGAGGAGAAAATGTGTGCTCTATGATCTCATCTAACGACTTTGAAGAGAAGCCCACTTTTACAGCTTAATGTAAAAAAAAGAAAAGTCACGGGCCACAGTGTTTAATTTATTTCAAGTGAGAATATGCATGAAATGAATTCCAAGATGCAATAATTTTATGTATTTATTTTTTGAAATGGAACTTTCCTCTCCAAAGATTCCTTCCACTTTCCCAGGAATGATAGATTGGGATAGCTTGAGTAATCTCTTCTAGCATCATTCCACTTCATGATCAAGTACAGTTAACTCAGAGAAACAACAGAGCTTTGTACTGCATGCCAGAGAGCGATACGTTGCTCTAATAGTTTCTCTTTTAAGTTCTTAAAAGAGATTTATGCTGTGTTTAGTTGTTGTTTCTGGAGAATGATTGACAGATTAAGCTATGTTTTGGTTAGTACAGAACCAGAAGAATCGTATGACATTGTTGGGTGTAACAGGATATCTTAGCCACGTTGTGTATATCTTAGTTACCATTTAAAAAGAGCTGCATTCGAAAAGGGAGAATACAGAGCTTGGTTGTTGTCTGCAGTGTTTATGGGGGGTTGTTCTGTGTAACGACCTCTTTACTGATCTTTGATGTTCTCCTCACTCAGGCTCTGAGCTGGGAGTCTGTACATCATGTCCTTAGTAAACTCTGATCGTCTTGTAATTTATTACAGCATGTCCAACTATGAGATCTTCTGGTACACACACAACCTCTTCATTGTTTTCTACGTCATCCTGATGATACACATGGTTGGGTAGGTAGCACTAACAGTGCATGTGGGTGTTTGGGTTTCCCCTCTACACTTATGCAACACACAGAGTCATTTCTTTTTCCAAGGAACTGAAAGTCTTTCAGGTGAAATTCAAATGCAGGTACTAGTCATCCCATTCAGCCAAGTGCTTGTTCGCGCCTGTTTGTTCTTCTGTGTGGTTGAACTGTCAGCCCCTAGTTTTCATTTTAAATCTATTTTGCCTGAGTAGTCGTAAAAGAGTGATGAGTAAATGTGCTAAAGTGTGACTGATGAAAACATTATGTTGTTTTCATCAGTGGAGCTCTAAAGTATCAGACCAACATAGAGGCACACCCCCCTGGTTGCTTCAGAGCCAACCAGAGCAGCACCGAGCAGCAGGGAGATGAACTGGACACGAGTGAAGAAGAGGAGAGGCGATGCAACGAGGACGCTCGCTTCCAGCCACATTATCCCCAGGTCAGAGTGTGTGTGTGTGTGTGTGTGTGTGTGTGTGTGTGTGTGTGTGTGTGTGTGTGTGTGTGTGTGTGTGTGTTATGAGCATATTTACATGTGTTTGTGTTTTGGTTTGAGTTGAAGGAAATGTTTGTTTAAGTCTTCGTCAGTGTTTTAGGGTTTGTGGTTGGGGCTTTTGGATGAATGCTGGGTATTTGGGAAGTGTTGGTAGGAGCTGGTCCCATTGAGCAGGGGTGTAATACTGCTAGGAAGGGGCTGCATCCTTTCTCTACATCAAGGCCTGTTTTTGTGTGTGTTTCCTCCTGCGTGTGTGATGATGTGTTTGCACTTGGTCGTTAAGCAACGAGCTGGTTCCATAAATCCCCCTTAAGTACAGTTGTGCTCCCAGGGCTTTACTGAAGCTGCGAGCAATTAGTCTGTTACAGGTAACTGCCAACAGAAAGGAAGAGAAAAACCTCACACTGTGATATCAGTCGATTTAGTATTTATTCTTGTGAGCGTACTCTCTCTTTTCAGCTGGACTTGATTCAGACTCCTCGGGTTATTGTGATGGGGAGCAGGCTGATGGAATTACAAAGCTTTGATAGAAAATACCTGGTACACATTTCTGTACTAACATTCGCCGACTTAGATACATTCCCGAGGGAAAATTCGGCTGCTGTAGTTTGAATGGCCTTTATTATGCAAAGATTCCAGTCGCCAAGCCTCATGATTCAAGCCACTTTTCAAATACTGATACCACCAGAACAGCGGCAGCAGTCATTGGTTTGCTTACAGTGCTGCGCGAAAGTATTTGCCCCCTTTGTGGGAGTAAATACAAAATGCACTTTTTAAATAAAGACTTAACTGACTGGGCAAAATAAATGAAATCACTCTCTGCTTGTTAAATCGTGAATTAACTGCGATAAAGCAGAGTTTCTGGAAAGCTAGCCTCACTCAAGCCTGATAGCTCCCAGACCTGTTGAATCAAGAAATCACTTAAATACAGCCTGTCTGACAAAGTGAAGTAAAGTGAAAGATTTTAAAAAATGACACATCATGTCATGATCTTAAGAATCTCAAGATAAACAGCAAAGTCACTGATATCTTTCAGTCTGGAAAGAATTACAAAGCAATTTCTAAGATTTTGAGAGTCCAGAGAACCACAGTGGGAGCCATTATCTACAAAAAGACCAAACAAAGTTGGAACCAACAAAACTTTTTCTTTCTGTAGTCCACTCGTTTCAGTAACCAGGAACTGTGATGGATCATGAGCCACATGAGCTATTAAGTCATTGATTTTTCAGATCTTTCCTTTTATGTGACAGTGTTGGGGTCACACCAGAGTAACTGCTGAGATCTTGTAACATAGTGACATCGCAAAAAAAAATAAACTCAGGAGAGCAACACACATGACATAAAGCTGTCTTTGTGAAACTGCTTTCATTATCTATCCCATATGCCTGGTTTGTGCTGTGTTGTTTCTGTAGACGTGGCTGTGGGTGTCTGGTCCTCTCTGTCTCTACTGTGTGGAGCGTTTCTACCGCTACATCCAGAGCCGTGACCCTGTTACCATAGTGACAGTCATCAGGCACCCTTGTGATGTCGTGGAGTTGCGCATGCTGAAAAAGAACTTCAAAGCTCGACCTGGACAGGTGAGTTGGTCAAATATCCGCTGCTTTTTGGAGAGAAGGGAAATTCCACTCGTTTGATTCATCTGATGATTTCTTTCTCTCGACATACCCCCTCTCTAATCCCCCCGTCCTCCTTCTTTTACATCCTGCTGGCTCTCTGCGACTTCCCGTCCTCCTCTTTTTTCTCAGCATATTCTTCTTAACTGCCCAGGTGTCTCCTCATTTGAGAACCATCCCTTCACGCTCACAATGGTAAGACCTACTGCAGCCCGCTTTAACGCATTCCTCTGTCGTGACACAGTGCAAGCACACATATATTCTGTATACACATGTGAATGCAGATGTTTATTAGTAGATACTCAACACACCCTCTGCTGATGACTGGCACTTGACTGACACCTGGGCTGTGCAGTAATATTGTGTTTCACGCTGTGTATTGATGCTTACGGGATTAGTTCAGATTCCATGATACAGTAGGAGAAGATAAAGAAATCCCTGTATGCTCGCACAGCAGGAAGGGATGGAATCATTTACACACAAACACACACACACACACACACGCGCAGCCACATACAAAACCCACTGATTCCCACAAAGGAGCACAATAACTGTGCATGCCTATGCCTGGTGTGTTATAGAGCTTTGAGGAGGAGGGTAGAGAATCACTCTGACAGAGAGCAGACAGACCCCTGAGGCTAGTAACACTGTCTGCCAACAGGAAGGCCGTGCGTGTGTGTGTCCATCAATGTGTGTGTGTGTGTGTGTAGATTGTTAAATTTAGTGAAAAGAGCTATAGCTATGTATTGTATATGTGCTGACCCATGTGTTTGTGTGTATGCCAGTTTTTCTTGTGTTAGCTGCACGTGTCTCTGTGTGTTAACGTGTGTGTTTGTATTTTGAGTAACTGTCAGCCCTTTAACTCCTCACAGTGTCCCACAGAGAACAAGGAAACTTTGGGCATCCATCTGCGAGTTGTGGGAGACTGGACTGGTGGGCTCACACATACACACACACACACACAGAGAAAAGAGTGACACACAGTTTCTATTCCCTATCAAAGCTGACAGGATGGAAGCTGTTTTGTTTTGTTCTCTCTGCTGAGGACACATTTCTGAAGAGCTGCATTCTGATGTGTGTAATCATCCCCTGTTTTTTTCTCCTTGTGTGTGTGAGTGAGTGTGTGCAAGACTCCTTCTTTACCTCAAGGCCAAGATTGTTCCCACAGGTTCATCATCTTCCTAGATGACACATTAGTTAATGGAGTTCAAGAATGTTAAAAATGGCAAGAATGCAGTTTTTACCATTCTTGAACTCCATTAACTAATAAAACCAGAACGAGGACTTGATGTCATTTGGACACAGTATGTGCAGTCTGTTCAGGAAAAGGGACTGGTTACCATGCAGCCAACTTTAAGGAAATATCTTTTAGTGGAAGTTCTGGCTAAAACACTTACTGTCCTTTCCACTTGCTTTGGTACACACCCTAATACACACCAAGGGAAGTTAATCATCCTGGATGACAGGATGAAATGAGAAGGACAGAAATGATGTACTGAAAGGGCCTACATCTCTGCATGGTAACGATATCTGTACTTTTAGTTGCATTGCTCATGACCAGTGTTGGGACATATATCACATATAGATACTGTTGCTAGATTTATTTTGAAGCAGCTCCATATAAGGTTTTTCTAAGCATTTTGATCTTTTGAGCACTGTTACACCCCGGCCTAGGCAACCGGGGTGCAACGTAGAAAAACAAAGATAAGGAAAATAAAACCACGAAGGCTCTCCACCAAAATCCCAAAACGAAAATATCCCATGACGAAAGTATTAACAAACCCATTCACAACTATTTACAACAGACTATTTATTTACAACAAAACACCAACCTATTTACAACACGGGGGAGATCGCGACCATGACACACTGAAACACAGGGTTTAAATACATAGAGGGAGCAATCAGGAAATGGACCACAGGAGGGAAACACAGCTGGGGCAAATTAGAACTGACGAGACAGGGAAAATGTAAACTGAACACACTAAGATAACACAGACTTTCAAAGTAAAGCAGGAAATACATAAGTCATGCAAAAACAAAACACTGACACACCGAAACGTAACAGCACAAGCTTCTCCCTCAGCCTTTTTGTCCCGCATCAGCGTATTTTTGTTTGTTTATCTTGTATCCTCCAACTCTGCATTTTTTTCTGGTTATATTTAATATCATAAAAGGATGACTGATGGGGCTTTGTACTGATATGTGGCATATGTGAGGTTACGTTGCAGTCATTAGTTGTTTCTGAAATTTAGGCACGCCGAGGATAAACACTAACGTGATGCAATGAGTACTGCAGCTCATTAGTCCTGACATGGAGTACATGAGTAATTCGATTTTTAACCTCCCCGGGTATGTGTGTGTCAACATCTGAAAACGGTCTATAATGGGAACAAGAACAAAATCAGAAATGTATTTTCATTTTCAGTACTTATGATCAGTGACAGATGACACTGCCTGTCACTTTTCAGCATTCCAGTAGGCCAATCAGCACCATTCATTCAGAGTAAAAATTACAACTAACTAAATAAAAGACAAATGAACCATATTCAGAGCAACAGCAGACTCATAAATAATTTCTAGAAATATATGCTTGTCTGATTGTTCACTTGAGAATTCCCCACAAAGGTGAGATGTGCATATTTTTTTAACTTGTTGAATTGCAGCTTTGCACCAGGACTGCTGACTGCCACATCCTGCAGCTATAAAGTGTGTTTTTGAGTGGAAAGATCAGTACTGACATTCATGAGTTAGGACCTGTAGCCTATGATGCTGGAAATGTGTTACAGGCCAATTAATTTTCAAAAATTTATGAACTCTTACTGGGAATTTATGCTTCAGTAGGAAATTCATGCCGTAGCTACTTTGTAACTGCAAACACTTCTAAAACCCTATAACCCTACCTGCAACCTAATCTGACGTGCAACTCCTTGGAAATGTAAGAACACGTCACCTTGACGCAGCCTGCAACTTAAACTAACAACTATTGCAACCATTGATTCCTCTTGTCCATTTCTGCCTTCTTTTTCTCAGTTTTTGAATAAATCGGAGAAAGAATAAGGATATTAGTGCATTACAAGGAATAATAATCATATCATCAATATAAGGGTTTCAAGGGACTCGAAGGGACAGGATGAGGAGGTCGGACAATTTAGAGGGCGTCAGAATAGAGCTGCTGCTCCTGCACATCGAAAAGAGTCTGCTGAGTTAGTTGAGGGATCTGACTAGGATGCTTCCTGGACGCCTCCCAGGTGAGGTATTTGTAGTATGTCCTAGTGAAGGAGACCCCTGGGGCAGAACCAGGACTCGCTGGAGAGATTACATCTCACAGCTGGCGTGGAAACAATTCTGTGTCACCCTGGATGAGCTGCAGGAGGCTGAGGTGATGCAAGTCTGGGATTCTCTGCTCAGACTCATGCCCCTGCAACTTGGACCCAGATAAGCAGTAGAAAATGAATAGATGGAAGTTACATTGACAGAAGCATTATGTATCTAAATATTCTAATAGGCTTGAGAGTATATGTGATCATTAGGAGATCCCTCTGGTTTTTTCACAAATCACACCATGCCTGAAACGATCTCCTCTCCTCTGTCCTCAGAACGATTCACACAGCTGCTGCTTCCTGAGCCAAGGATAGACATGGAGATCCTTCCCATGGCCCAAAAGAGGAGATACCCCAAGTACGTTTCTGTGTGTGTCTGCTTAAATAATGTGGCTGACTTGATTTCTCATGAAGGCTCAGAATCCCAGAATGGCTGAAGGTTTCAACCTTTTGACCTCTGACTCAGTGCTCTTCCTGCTCTGTGTTTGATAGACAGTCAGATGAGTTAAACAAACCATCAAAGGCCCAAACCCCCTTGGTCTCCTGTGTTGGAACAAATTTCATTTTAAAAAAAATAATGGAATATATTTTGACCATGAATATAAATATTTCAGAAGTGTTACAGATTCCTGTATTCATGATTATGTGACAGTAATGGCAAACCTCACAAACCACGCCTCATATGGATGGCCCTCATGTTATTTATCTTTTACGTAGTTTCATGTGTAATATCTTCTCAGTATTCTGTGTTACATTGAGTTAAGTTTGTGTCTAATTTTTTGTGTGTGTATTCTTGATCACACAAGAGAGCGAGCAGCTGTTGTGGAGATATTTATGTATTTGGGGGATTGCTGTCTATTTGTCAGTTCACACACACCAGAGCACAGACAGACGGACAGACAGACAGACAGACACACACACACACAACTGCACCCAGACTAGGATTTCAAATGCAGGATGTTTATGTGTGTTTGACCCAAGGGAGAAATATAATTGCATATGTGTATATTTATCTTGGTAGCTTCTCAGCCAACGATCTTTTGTTTTCTTTGTGTTGTTGTTTTTTTTGTCCACATTGTATGTTCAGAGTTTATGTTGATGGGCCATTTGGAGGTCCGTCAGAAGAGGTATTCAACTATGATGTCAGTCTTTGTGTTGCCGGCGGAATAGGAGTCACCCCGTTCGCCTGTGTGCTGCGGGCGCTGCTGTGAGTTCTTACAAAAATATATTATATGCTTATAAATTATGCACAGACTGGGCATTTATCAATGGACTTCTTCCTTCCTTCCTGCTGTACACCTAGTGATGGCTGGATGGGTTTCAGGTTGCAGAGGTTGTATTTTGTGTGGGTCTGCAAGGAACTCCAGTCGTTTTACTGGTTCGCAGAGCTGCTGTGTGCTCTGCATCACAAGGTCAGGACAAACTCTGGCTGTTAGAACCTTCATGTTATATGAATCATGCTGGAATTAAATGGCAAGCTATAATTCAAGTTTTCTAAATGTTTGTGGCATTCGGCAGACGAAGGTCAGAGGTGTATGTGTCTGTGAGACAGCAGAAGTTGTAGACTTGAGCAAAAAGCCTCTGTTTTTTGTTTGCTGGTTTCACACAGTCTTGAGGCTGTTTGTAGTCTCGCCTCTGCTTCTGTATTTCAGAAAAATCTAGAAAATAAATGCTGCATTTATATCCTGTATCGTACTTTATGAATGAAATCAAATACACATCAGCAACACTACAAACCATGTTTTTCATTTAGCTCTGGAACGAAAACAGACCGGACTACTTTAATCTGAAACTGTATATCAGTCAACCAGACAGCTTGCAGGTAATTGTGGCACACACACACACACACACACACACACACACACAACACACCACACCACACACACACACACATATCAGTGTTTCTCTTTGCTAATCTTGTAATTTTATTGTATTTCATTGTCACTTGCTCTTCTCGGTTTATCTTTTGTTAGATTTTAAGAACTCCACCCACTAGAGGGCGGTGCTCTACAAACAGAGAGAAGCTACAGCGCACAGTTTAAAGTGTATCTGTTGCATGTTTTCCAGACTGTTCCATTAAAGCAAACGCTTTTGTTCTTTTAGGCGATGTAACAGCCAACCAATATAGAAAAAAAATAATTCTGTTATATTAGTTTATCGAAAACATTTTGAGGAGTTTTGAACGTATTCGTGCGACTCTCGCGGTGGACGTCTGATTACGAAGTTTACGTCAGTCGGACCCAACCGGACCCTTGCTTATTTTAAACTGTCCGGAGCCTCGAGTCCTCTGGGGTCCTCTCTGGTCCGAGCACCTACTTCATTCATTTTTTTTAATTTTGTGACCTCGGTGACTTGTCCACCGAGAATTTACATTACCGTATAGAAACTAAGCGTGCGGCCCGAGCGGCGAGCTTCAAAGACGTATAACAGGAAGTAGTTAGCCGTCGATTCTGAAGCTAGCCGTGTCCGCTACGGGACATACAATGGACTTATTGACATAAATATACATTACAAATAGGCATAACGTCACAATGACCGACTTCTGTTTTTGTATGGCATACGCCGAATCCACGCTATCTCCTCGTTAGTATAGTGGTTAGTATCCCCGCCTGTCACGCGGGAGACCGGGGTTCGATTCCCCGACGGGGAGACGAAGTCTTTTTATCCGTTTAGCATCACACAACATCGCTGGGTGTTCCCATCAGCCTTGGGGTTACTCAAAAATGTTTGGCACATTATTCATTGCTTTTCTCAAAAATAACAGGATACATTATTTAACTACTTAGCCAAGAAAGTAATTTGTTAAACTACTCTTTACATTACTGTGGACTGTGGTTGTTGCTGTCCTGGACGCAGATTGCATTTGAATTGCCCTTTTTGCAATAAAAATAAAATAAATGTCCAAAAGCTCCAAATTTCCAACTGTGTTAAGGTTCACCAAACCAGCCAGTTTATTGGTTGATTCCCATTTCATTTACATTCACCTTTTTGTGACTAAATTTCCTTTGCTCTACTAACAGTAGACTGACACAGCTATGTCCAGCACTGGTGGCCCTTAAATTAGATACCACATTCTTTTAGCCTCTAGGAGAAAACAGGAGAAAAAACAGACTTTTTCACTTTTTTGATTTAGAGAGATGTACACTTTATCTGATAGAAGTCTCAAACAAAAAATGTTTCTCATAAACAGTATAAATGTTTCTTTGTTATGTTTTTTTTCTGTAGTAGTAATAGCATTAACTTTATGTAACATATAATGCAAATGTGAATTCAAAGCATCCTAGTTTTTATGCTTTTTTTGCAGAGCATGTCTGAGGAGAAGTACCGCCCACTCACATCAAGGATGCAGATTGGTCGGCCCAGGTGGAAGTTACTCTTTGATGAAATTGGAAAATCCAACAAACAGTGAGTACAGTGGGACTATCCAGTGAGTCTCGTAGCTGTAGAAACGTGTGTATAACATTGTTGTTAAAATTGATTTCTCTGTGGTTTCAGTAAACGTGTTGGTGTTTTCTGCTGCGGACCGAAGGGCATCTCCAGGACTCTCCACCGACTGTGTAACTCACCTCAATACAATGGAACAACATTCGAATTCAACAAAGAGTCGTTCAGCTGATTAAACTTTAGAGCTGGTGCTACACTGTCAGGGCATATCAGTAGAAGTCATCTACTTTGGGGTAGATGGCTTCTCATTCAATCATGGGAAAAGTTTTTAGTTAAATTAAAGTTCTTAGTACCTTTGGACAATCATGGTTGCTTAAAAAAATCTTGGATGGATTTTCATTTGATATAAATACTGACTGTAAAGTTAAATAATGATAGACTATTTATATTCAATCTCTGTACATGTTTTCTAAAGGTCTGGCACATCGAAACAGCCTGTTGGGTGCTTTAAATAAGCTTCGACTTTGGTTTGTGACCCAATCAACATGTGAGAAAAGCTTGGAGTCTCCCGAAGCTTCTGTATCATCCCTGCCCTGTTGCACCCCTCTGTGGAGTAAAATTGCATTCTCATGTTGGAGTCGAGTGTGAGGAAAAAGGTGTGACTCACCGTGATCTTATCACAGTATTAAGAGACTTAAGAGCCAAGCCCCACCTAGTTCTAAATATCCAAAATATATGGATATCTTCTACATCCAGAATCAACTGCCCAACATTTGTTTGTCAGCATCTAAAATATACTGCTCACACATTCTTAATTCTTGCTTATTACCAAGTTGTAATTACCCTGGATTTGTCGATGAACGCTGACTAAATGATGATCACATTCTTCAAATACAGTGCTTAACAAATTTATTAGACATTAAACCACTAAAACTGATTTCTCTGTTCGGGTAATTAAGTGTAATTTGGTATCGTACTCAAATAATAATATTAATAATGTGCTTTACTATTTTTTCATACTTTTGTAAAGCAGTAAACCTGAAAATGAATGGATAATAACAATAATTATATTTTAGCATTAAAGGTATTTCTATTAAAGAACATGTGCATACTGGTGAATCAACTATTACAGCAACATAAAAATGATTTTAGTAATTACCAGTACTGTTAATTTAGGGCAACTGTGGGCTAAATTTACACTGGGGCGATGGTCGAAGAAAATTGTCAAGCAGTGTATGTTTAGCATGCATGTTAGATTTAAACGCTCAGAAAAGGGGGCAAGGATTTTAGGTCCCCGCAGAATGTTACGGGTCAGTATGTTTCTCTCACTGTGGAAGGATTTGTAGACAGCCCGGAGGGAAGTGTGACATTTGACAAAACTAAGAGGCAGAAAAAAGTATTACAACACTTATCTCAGAGTCTGAGGCAGTGTGGTTTAAAAATGGGCACACGATGATGCAGTCTTTACACACCACTACACCTCAAGCTTTTTTTTACTTTTTTTTTGTTGCTTACTTTATTTATATTGTTTAAAATAAATGTACAATTTGACATGTCAAGGTTCTGCAGGATTTTGGCAATCTTTACTGAGTCTACTCACAGGTATATAACGGAAGCATATTTCAGGTTATGATGATTTACTGGTTTACTTTAGTATTTGTCATGTTTAAAACCTCTGATTTTTTTTTTGAATGCCACAAACTGGAGACTGGAGGTTTCTACAAAGAATAAACATCTTGATTTTTTTCTGATCAACTGAGTAAACGTTGTAATTATAATTTGAAATTTTTGACATTTATCTAAATCTTTAAGATCAACTTTCTTTTTTGGCACAAGTATGAAATAAATGGTTTATATTTATTACATCTTTATTAAATGTACTGTTTTCAATCATTGAGTGATTTAGTTTTACATTTATTTATAATTGAAACTACAGTCGTAATGACCACTCAAACATCGCACTGCAGTGCAGTAACTGAACAGCCCAGTCAATCAGCATTACATGCAGATTTCTGCCACCATGCTGTAAAATACACAATCTCCTAGTTATTTTTAAAAGTGATTATCAACATTATTGCATAAAAAATAGGCAGCAAATTTGCATCAAGTTGGATTTTTAATGAAGCATGTACAAACTCGTGATTCATCTTTGTAAGCACTGTAACAACTACAGTTAATTTGCTTGTGAGAGGATTGCAAGAAAAACTGCACGCTGTCTTTTAGCATCAGTTCAAATACACACATTAGCACATTAGAAATGTAGTCATTGTTTTCTCTGAAATCATATTTTTAACCACTCAAACTAAACTCACAACAGTGGTTAATGTACATTTTTTACATTTATTGCATATTTCACAAAACCCTGGAAGTTAAAACTACATCAGAAAAACTACTTTGAGCCTTATTTCCTCAAGGAATCCCAAAATATTTTTCTATTCCGAATGTGTGCCGACTGAATGCAAAACATTTAAGGTGATCCTCCTAGCGGCAGCTCCCTGCTGTTTGCTCATAGTCTCTTTTTAAATGGTCTCAAATCTTAAAGGGTTGGTTCACCTGTCCCCATCACGCTAATACAAAGGAGGTTGCTTCTTGTTGTCTACCCTAATTAGATTAGACAAATCCTGCAAACCCATGTAAAGTTATTTTTAAAACCTGTAACTGTCTGCACGGACAGCTATGTTGCTAACATATCAGTGATTTATCAGTGCTATCACCACTACCCACTTCCTTTCTGTTGATTCCATAGTAGATACCTGCAAGACACTGAGGTGTAAATATGTTTTTTCTTGTTTGGATGAACTGTATTTTCCTTTTTTTAAAAAGTTGCTTCACTGGCTCATCTGTACATGACTATATTTTAAAAAACATAATCAGATTCTTGTTTTTAATTGGCTTCATAACCATCACAGGGTTGTGCAGTACCTGTGTTACAGAGTGGTCTGATATGAAGATGATCCTTCCTCTGAGCTGCTATGCAGTAATGGCTGTCTCTCCCCGTAGCTTGATGCTCTCTTCTTCCTCTGATTGCGCTTCCATTTCCGTCTTGCAAAAACAATGATTACTGCGATGATTGCAGCAATCAGAGCTCCCAGAATCCCGGCACCCACGAGCCACTGCCAGATCTGTTGTGCCTGCTGGAGGTAGGGGTTCAGGAACTCTTGAACAAACCTCTGACCTATGGTGAGACAGATAGGATAGGACAGTAAAGCTTAAAGAAAAGGCCATTTAGGAGATATGTTTACAGTTATGCACTGACCTGGGTCCAACAGATAGGCATATTCATATCCAAGAGCCTTATTGGACAGGAAATAATCTCCGTTTCTATAAAGAGGCAGGAAGGGAACCATATAATAGCCATCATTGTGACCAATAGGGGCATTGGTGCGTGGGTAGCTGTTTCGTGGAGGCTGGTGGTTCCTGAGCCAGCGCTCATAGATACTAATGAAGAGAAGAAGTGAATAAGAAGAGAAAAGGGACAGAAAGAAAAACCTACATGAAAAAATTGAATATATATCATGATTCTACATGATATGCAACTTTTCATCCTTACATCTTCTCTAGGTCTCGCTACTTTTATCTTTCTCACTGCATTACACCCAGTGTGTGCAGTTTACCTTTTGCAAATAATATGGGCGGATAAGTGTTACTATACCTGTCAATGAAAGCATGATGTAGCAGGAATATTGGGTCATTAGCTGAACCCTGTACTGATGACATGGAACCGTTCATGAACATATGCAAGGCGTTGTGCAAGGTGCTCTGGCCTGACACGGCCATACCCGTCTGTGGACTTGCAAAACCTGCAGAAGGTGCATGATACAGGAAGATAACACTCAGGGATGAATTTAGTAGTAAATAGTTTGTAGGTTTATATGAGAAAAATGTTTGTGCAGAGAAAAACGTGAGCTTGGTGGAACAAAAATGAGAAGGAACTGAGATATATTACGACTTAAAAGTCTTACAGCTGGCCTGTGCACCAAAAAATGTAATTTATTATAATTAATTTCAAAAGTTCTCTGAGACAACGGGGGAATCATTTTCATATTAAATACATTTGAAGTTTTAACAGAATTGATGTCCTGATGAAAGAATGTCCTCTTTCACACCTCGTTCAAATGCACTTGATATAATTTAATTCAGGACTCAGCTTAAGGGGCAGCCTGTGATTTACAACAAAACTGGAAGCATATCTAATGATATAACGTGTGCAGGATGTGTTAAACTCCAACAATAAATACATAAAATAACTAGCAGGTTTTAGTGTCGATGTCTGCATTAGAGTTTGCAATTCCTTGTACACACACTGGTTTGTATCTACCTTTTGTGTTTCCAATGTGCCAGTGCTCATTCACAAGCTTAGTAAGATTAAGCTGAACTTTGGTGATTAAACATGAAAGAAGAGAGGACTAACACAAATGTATGTGCGTGTCTGCCTCTCACTCCTACCCTCTAGGACATTTCTAAAGCTCATGTTGGCAAATCGGTCCATGGGTCCTGTCTCGTACTCGGGGAGGCCCACAGCGAACTCCACATCATCTGAATTGGGAAGTCGTTGCACACGATTGGTATCATGGTTGCCGGGATTACGTAACAATGGACCCTCCCCCGTGGCATTACATAATGCTTCTCGGCTGTTATACTCCTCTGACTGGGTGCAGATAACCTATACAAATGTATAAATGCAAAAGTGTAAACATACATGTTTCTCGGGCTGTTATAGCTCACAAACCTGCGGGCCTCCATAAGGCTTTAATATGGCTTTCTTACAAATAGTAAATGGGCATTAATAGGCATTAGTGAAAACTAATGGAACTCTCTGAGTATTCAGAACAATGCTGCTTTCAAAAATCACAACTTTAAAATAAAAATCTCTCAAATAGTTGGATTAACAGGATGAACCAACTTAATCCTGTGGGCTTGTTTTTACAAGAAAATGAACTTTCAGGTAGTTAATGTATAAAAACTGTTTAAAGGACCACATATAATCAAATATGGGTATTTCCATTCTAAGACACACTGAAACCCAGGGCATGAGGATCAATTTTTCTTACCTTCCATGATGAGAAGACAGAGGCAGTGCTGATGAGGTTGGGATTAAGGGAGTTGCGTCCACCCATCAAGGCATCGGTACACACGTCACAGGTCTGGGAGTTCCTCCAGTCCCAGTATGGGATGGTGAAATTAAAATCTCCTGTTAGCTTCCTGATCTCATTCTCCCAGTGAAGCAGGAAGACTCTGTGCCAGGGCAGAAATGCTGCAGATTCATGAGCAAAATCGATATCTTGCCATACATTCCCTGGTCCTCCCAGGAGGGCATCTCGGGACACATAGTAGTGCATCCACACAAAAAGGTCATAGGTGTTGATGTCAGAGAACATGGGGTTCTCGCCATTTTCTCCCATCTGTGCCCTTGTGCCAGTGGCGATGACATAGTCACGATTGATGGTGTTTTTACCCAGGTTCAGATAGGAGATGAACTTCTGCTGTTCAGCAGTCGACATAGTCAGGATGTTCCTGCGCACTGATTCCCTGTACTCAGCACAGTTTGAACCCCAGTAACCAA